CTCAAAGTATTCAAATTTTAGCAAAGCCTTATAGAGTGAGGTATAAGATCATGTACATTAATACAGAGACATGTGAATGCACAACAAATAATTTATCTAGGTAATCATGAAGGTAGATATTCTAAAAACTCATTGATGATCTTTCTCCATAAATCTTTCACCATAATACATGAGATATATATGTATATTGGGTGATCATATTTATAAACAGAGTTTGACAATTTATTCCAAGCTCTAAAATATATAATCGGAATATAGTAAATACAAGAACTGAATTGCATTGTATCATAACTAAGAAATATGTGCTTTATGAATTCAAACATATTCCAACTAATCTAGGTAGCTTATAGCCATTGATAGATGTTACTGTTTGGTTTATGGATACTTCTATCAGGCTAAACTGGAATAGTTTCTAATTATGTAAAATAAGATTGATTTGATCAATCAAATTATGCACAACCAGCTAAGTTGGAACCTATAAGGTCACATAAAATAGAATATTATTATATATGGGAGTTTTAACAAAAAGTTCGTAGTACTGTTCACTTTAATGAAAAACCACATTTTTACACTAAAAAGTTAAATTTGATACTATTCACTTTACCCTTTATTTTGTCCGTATTGTTAAAACTCAAAGTTTTCAAGCCATTTTCATTAGTTTTCCTTATTATTAATGGCAAATCAGTGTTTGAGCTCCTCGCTGGGAAATTAGGATGACAAATACAGGTGGTGGTGGTGGTGATACCAAACACATATGAAATAAGTGCCCAAACTTTTGAAGAGTGGATTTGGACCTTGACAACCTCCAGACCTGATACTAGTGAGTGTCGCTAAATGGTGGAAAACAGGTAGGGAGGTTGGGGATGAAGATGGTGTGGTAGCGATAGGGATGGAGATGGTGTTGTGGCAGTCACTAGTAAAGCTACATAGGAGCAAGGAGGGGCGGTCGCCCCTCCCATTCCCGGAAATTAAGCCTAGGAGTGATGGTGTGCCCCTCCGGTCCCTTCAAAAAACTTGTTGCGCTATGAGGGACAAAGTTCCAAAAATCTTAGAGGAGGATGAAGAAGAATTTGAGCCATCAAAACCCAAACTCGCAACCTGTTCTCCCTTCCCTATTCGAACCCCTGCACCTAGCAGATCTCATTTGCAGATAGGGTGATGCGAGAATTACTTGACACTCAAATTAAACCCTCGTTTGACAATTGTAGTAGAATGGATAAGTGAGGGATCGTTCTAGACCGGGGATTAGGAGGGCTTGCTAAAACCTTCTAAATTGACTTAAAAACGTAAAAACAATATAAAACACTAAACTAGACTCAAAGAATGTGAAACTAAACGTTAAAACACTAAGACAAACCAAAAGAATCAAAATGCTTTAAAAACACAAACTAAATTGATTTCTAACTATATTGAACATTAAAGCAAAAGGGGGATTGAGGTTTGACGAAAATTGAAATAACGAAACAAGTTAATAACTAGACATAATGTAATTGATGAAATAAGATGGTTGGTGAATTAGCTAGATGTTCTTTCTCCACACATGATATTTATGCATATGAATCAATTTCCAGTTATTCCTTCATTGAATTATGAACGACAATGCCCCAAATTAACCGTGATATCACTAGTTAACCCTCAGATTTTCCTTATATTATTGGATTGGATGGCATCATTCGACAACCCAAAATATTCTCAAAAGTTCCCTACATGTCATCATAATAGAGATACAATCGAAGATCATTAAGAATAATGAAAACCATAAGCATTGACAAAGCATTTGCAACTATGACATCATGTTACTCATGCTAAGAATTAAACTTAACACGATCGTGACAAGCGACCTTCACTACTTTCAAGTATAAGTTAGTAACGATTATGTGAAACCTTCTTAAACTTTAGCCACATATTCATGCATGCTAATTAAGTGTCGACCCTCAATCAACAAACACAAATAAGTTAATCATCAAATAGTTAAGCCAATTGCATTCACGAATCAAGAGTTCATAACCGGAATTCATCAATTCATATTACATAAATAATCATGGTATTGAAATCACCCCTAGCCAAAAAGGGTTTAGTTCCTCATAACTTTGAAATCAAAGAAACACCTAAACATTCCAACAACTCAAACTTGAATTGTATGAACGTTTAGGCACTCTTCTCTTCCATTCCTCATATTACAAAACAAAGAGAATTGAATTTAAACATTGAAATCAAAGAAACGCGTAAACATTCCAACAACTCAAACGTGAATTGTATGAACGTTTAGGCCCTCTTATCTTCCTCTTTATTATGGCACAAGGACTAAGGGATGTTGTTGGTGTGTTGAATGGATTGGGGGAATTATGGAAATGGATGAGGAGTGGTGGAGAAAATGGTGTAGAAAATGGAGAGAAACTCACGGCTAAGGAAGAAAATGGAAGTGTTTGTGGTGTGTTGTGTTGTGAATGAGATGAGATGATTTTTGAATGAATGAATGCAAGGGTATTTATAGGAGGAGTGGAGATGTATATGGCTATTTGTTTAAGGTGTTTGTGGCTACAATGATGAAGAATTGCATGTGGAAATAAAATGGAAAATGTGGTGAAATGATGAAGTAGGAAGGTGGAAATGCATGTGAGATGTTGGAAAGGAAATGGGAATATGAGTAGGCCATGGCATGGGAGTTGTTTTGTTGGTGTAAATGTGCCATGGTTGCAATGATGAAGAATAAAGGGTGCATGTGGGGTGGAATTGAATGAATGCAAAGTGAATGAATAATGAAATGAGTTAAAGAGGGAGAATGTGGTGAAATGATGAAGTAGGAAGGTGGAAATGCATGTGACTTGTTTGTGGAATAAAGAATGAATGGTGGAATGATGAAGAGTTGCATAAAGAATGCATGTAGGGTTAGCTAGGTTGGCTTTGTTTGGGTGCATGTGTGTTAATGGTGGTTTTGCATGTGAATTGATGGATTGTTTTTGATGGAATGGATGGTTCTTTGCATGGCTTTTGAAGTGATTGTGGGCTTTGGAATTGGAAGGAAATGCATGGCCTTGGGGTTGGTTTAAGAGAGAATGGGCTAGGCCATTTGTTTTATGTCCAAAATGAATACAAGGCCTTCAAATTCGTCCAACACTTTGGCTCCAATCATATGCTATCCATTCCAAGCCCAATTTTGCTCCAAAATGCTCCAAAATGCATCTTTTTACTTCCTTAGCCATATGAACCTAAAAACACACGAAAATGGCTTAAACTACTAAAACAACTATGAATTAACAACATAGATGCACGAAAACAAGCTAAGTAAGTCGCCTAAATATGCTCCTATCATGGGGTTTGAAGCTCGAAGGGAAAACTGGCGGCGCTGGTGTGTGCAGGTGTGAGCAAATGGGAGAGGCAGGCTATCATAATTTTGGGCTAGAAGCTTTTTAAAAAAAAAACATAAGAAAAGAATGAGGTCCTAGGCTACTGCAGTCATGGCGTTGGACCCAAAACTTGGGCCTAGTTGCTATAAAATGAAAATAAAAAGGGTTGGGTCGTAGCCACAAGAGAAAAAGGAAGGCAATTTGGGTTGAAGTAGTAACAGGAAGAGGAAAACTACAAAAAGACGAGTTTCAATACTTTAGTTTCGACATGTCGACAAAATTAAAGCACATTTTTCAGTAATTAAGCTCACTCGGAGACTTGAAGTGACTCCTAGCAGACTTTGGCACTCAAAAGATTCGTGATTACATTGGATTATAAGCTTCTTACATTGACTTTGGTATTATCGATTGCAACCATTTCGGTAGAGAAAACGTTTTTTGCTATAAGTATTCTCAAAACACCACTACGTAACAAAATAGGAGATTAATGATTGAGTGATAGCTTTGTTGTTTACATTAAGAGAGATGTTTTTGCTTTTATTGATAAGAAGCTTATTATGCAGCGTTTTCATGACATGAACATCGCCGGCAACAATTGTAACTTGTTTGTATTGATACATTATGAACGACTTAAATTTTTTACTATATAAAAGGATTTTGTAGTCTACATTTTTTTGGAACCTTGCACGCTTTTAAATTTCGCCCCTCCCTTTGAAAATTTCTGGCTTTGCCACTGGTGCCGGTGGGGATAATATGAGAGAGAGAGAGTATGCAAGAAGGCGATGTGAAGTTATGAACGATGTGGGGAGGAGAGAGGGCTTTCTTTTAGTATTCCAAAATTACCAAAATAACCTTTCTCTGAACAGGATGAAATAGACTCATGGGTAGACTTGATCCAACCCCTTATCTTAACATGTTGACTATTAGTCCAATTATTTAAGCCTCAACCCAAACACTGATTTTTTAGTCTCATTTCATTCAAGTTAACAAGATGTGCATGAAATTGTCATGTTTAATGGTACTGTTGACAATTAATGATATGTGTGGACAAGTTTTTTTCACTCCAATGACATCACTAAATACAGAAACTTGTGCCTCCTTCCTGATATTTAAGGTTTTAAGCATTGTAGAGATTGAGAGGTAGGATAAACTCTCTCCATTTTCTCTAACTAGCTAAAGGCCGGCCATCTTGGAGGGCTTTGCTAGCACCACCATCAACTCTCCCATGTGACAAGACAAACTTAGACAAAAATCCTAGAATCTTGCTTGGCGTGGAAACTTAGAGATCAGGTCCATTTTGTTATTTTTGGATTACTTAGATGGGTATTTCAAGCATGATGCTACCTTAACAATGGGGGACTCGATCAGGTGAAATTAATTAAGAGTTGCTTCAAGCATGAGCCCCTTTCCTCTTTTCGGTCTCCTTTCACCGAAAAGAAAAGTTGTATGACAAGACAAACTTAGACAAAAATCCTCCTCTTTAAATGGGAAAACTTTTGCGTGTGACCATATCTCACCTTCATATTGAAAAAATTCTGAATTAAACATATAATGCTGAAATCTCAAAATTTCAAAGGCCCCTTTATAGCCAGCATCACCACTAGTCATGATTTCTATTGACTATAACTGTGTACTTAAATCAGGAATCCGAAAGAAAAGAAGTTCTGAGAATATATTTCTTGACACGTATATTGTTGAATTTGCTTTTTTTTTTTTTTACATTACTCTCAACATGTTTAATAATATACATTAGATATATTTTCAGATAAAATAAAAGAAATTAAAGGTTGAGGGGGTTTTATAACATGGAATATGAAATGTTGAAACCTGCCTCATCATTTATACTCATATATCAAACAGAAACGACGGCCATATTTGGAACTTGCGACAAATGAGAAAACGCCAGTAAAATGAGAACTGCCATGATCAGAACCGGAATAAAGAGAAGCACTAAAGGCGGTGGTGGTAGTGGTGGCAAAAGCAGCGGTAGTACCACAAGAAACACAGTCAAAACGATCAAAAACATGACCGATATGATGCTAAAGTACCTCAACATCAAACTCTGCACACACCTATATTGTCGTTGACTAGTCTCTTGGAGGAAGTACATACACCACCCATGAATCCAATTCATGTAGCGTAGTCGCCGTCGATGGTTGTAGCATCGAAACGTACGCCTGGCTTCAAAGCCAAATGGTACAACAAGAACATGTAGTCAAGATATTGATAAATTAGGGCATATATTGGTGAAGAGGCCCAGGATTTTGCTTACCTGACTGTGGTATAGTTGTTTACTTTCCGATTGAGGACAAAACTCTCGACGTAAAGCAAGCTTGCCGGAGCTTCTGAGGCAAGAGGACTTGATGAGCGTGAAGGTGTTGGGACAGATGGATTGGTTTCTAGGTTAAAATAAGAGGACTAGAATGGATGTGAAAGCGAAATGTGAAGGAAAATGAAATAAAAATGATGGAGAAGAGAAGTAGTAGTAGTAGTGGTACCTCGGCAAACAGATATTTAGGTTAGGTGGCTGTAGCCTCTGTCTCCGTCAAACCCCTGACTATTCTCTCTATGTCCCGGTTCACTCAACCAAAACATATTTTATATCTAAATGCATAATGACTATTTATGGGTTCATTGTGCGGGGACATATATTTCAAAGTTTGGACTTATTTTCCACTTTTCTTTCTTTTATCATTATCTTCTAGCTTACGTACGTAGGAAAACAGATACGTACTTCCAATATTCTCTCTGTATTAATTTATATTATTGTTAATTCTTGGCCAAAATTCATGGCCATATATCAACTGTTGGATTAAGATTTAATGGTTGACATTTAGCTTCATACTCATGGAGGTGGAGCTATTAATTATATATATGTGTAAATTACAAGGAAATTGTTTTGGAAGTTACGACCTCAATGCTGGCCTGCCTTCCTAGCTTGCCAAAAGGTCCAAGTTTGCGATTGTAATCCTTAGTACGAAGCAATAAAAAATAAGTCAATAAATACAAAAAATCTAAGGTTACGACCACGCAAATCCACGAATTAATCGTGGTTAATTCATATTTTTAATGTAGGTTTTTCTTTCTGTTTCTTTGGTTTTTACTTTTTTTTTTTTTTTTTTTAAATTTGATGAATAATTTTTTTTAGTTTAATTCAGGTTTCCGTTTAACACGTTGGTATGTAAGTCTAAATAAATCATTATTTAGTTAGGCGTGCCATGTTCTTTCCTTTTTTTTTTTCTTTCTCTTTTTGGTCGAAAAAACCTCATTTCTTGTTAAACTTCTTGTTAGGCGTGCCATGTTCACTTTTATATTGAAGTTTATCAAACATATTCCTAGGGCATAAGCATCTCTAATGAAATGGTGTAGACAATTGAATTGAATAGAAAAACTCATTTTGGTGAGCTATAACATTTAACTATTTGCACGACGAACAAAAGTTGGTTGTGCAAAGTGTCATTCCGTCGCACATATGTATGCGTAACCGAAAATTCGTCGCGCAGAATCCGTCACGTAAAGATCGTGAAGAAACACTTTGTGCAACGAACAATAGTATTGGTCGCAAAAACATGGCACGATGGTTTAGCCTTCGTGACACAAAATACTAGGAGACAAACGTGGGACGACTACTGTTCGTCTCTTGAAAATTTGCGCGACGAAACCTTGTTAGTCGCTATAATATTGTGAAACGAAGGTATTCGTCGCGCAAAAATATATTTTTTTTAATTTAATTTTTTTTGTTCTGTTTTTCAATCTTGCAATAAAATTAAATTGCAATTAAAAAATGTAATGAAGAGAAAAAATAATTTATTTAAATAAATATAAATGTATGTACAAGGAAAATATTTAAAAAGTAAATGAGTAAAAAACTAAGAAAATAATGTGGCATAATCAACGGGGTCGTCATTTGGAGGCGGCTAGAAGGTCACGAGGTTGGGGACGGGCTCAAAGGTCGAAAGGGCAGAGTTGTGGGCATGCTTGAGTTGGAGGGGCTCGAATGTTAATAGCGGATGAAGATTCGAGAGATGAATGGAAGACTGACCGAGGGCTTGTACAATCTGTGACATCTGGCTCTTATATGAGGCCAGCTCAGTCTTAAGGATGGCCACCTCTGCTGTCAAAGGTGTCACATGACTCTTTCACTGAGATGATGAAGAGGCTCTAGGTTCTCACCGCCAGGCATTCCCCATCCCTCTACAATGCCACCCTGGCCTCTGTCAGAGATTCTGATACAAGGTCTCTGTAACAATCTGAAATCCCGCATCCTTTGGGGGATCCACAGACTCGAGCGGGGTGTCGGGAGGAAGCTGGGAGGCAGACTCCTGAAGAACCAATTGCCTCTTCTCCATCATCGCCGCCTATGTAAGATAACATGAAATATTAATAATAACATTCAAATAATAATCATGATACTTGAATCCATAAGATAGTAATTACAATTGAAGAATACTTACATAAAGTGACTTGGCCAACTCATCCCTGGGTCGAACATAAACGTCGTTGAAGACATTGATCTCCGGGAATTTTAAACCCCCTGAATAGAACAAGATACGAAAATTGTTAGTACGAAAAAAAAAATATTATTGACATATTCAAAATTGAATATGAAAAACTTTATTATTACCTGCTGCCGCGCCTCCGTCCTATATGAGAAGGGCCTTGAACCAGAATGATAGAGAAGAGTCTTCTTCTCCCAATTGCTCTTGTTGGCTTTCTCCTTCTTCTGTTATACAAAAAACAAACGTATTAGTTCTAATTTAAATGAAATATGAAAAAATAAAAAAATATTAGTAAGAAACGTATAATACCTTTAAACTTAATATAAAAAAACGTAACACATAGCCGGCTCCTAAAAATGATTGCAAAGCCATACCTAATTATCTTCCTGGTCCTCAAACTCCTTCGGGCAACCCTCCTCAAGAGCGACCTGCGGATCACCAAATGTCTCAAAATATTGGTGCATGTCCTTCTTCCACAGCTTGTATCGTTCAGCGAAAAGCATGTTGACGTATGCCAACATATCGTCGTTGATGTTGTCAAAATTGTAGTTTGTCTGCATTGTAACCACATACATTAAGTAATATAAATATATAAAATTTGAAGGAAAAACAATACTTACCGACAACTATGCGCGCACCTTCGTTCTCACCTCGTCCTGCATCGCCTTCCAAAACTTCCATTGCATAGGGCAATAGGTTTGCACGACGTGGCCAATGTCATGGGCCAATGCGCTATGCTGCTCCGCCGTTGGTGCAGCATGATGCTAATCGTCGTATCAGATCCTGATACGTCCGTTGGTCACCTGGGTGACCGTCTCCGTCTTCAACTGGCGACAAGGTCTTCGAGTATTTTTCTTTGCTGCCAAAAAAAAAAAATCAAACAAACACAACAAATAAAACCGAAATTCCGGCAGAATCTCCCCTAAAATTATAACAATTCCCAAACCCTGGACATTGTAATGAATAATATATGATATCCAACAACAATCACAACAGTTGAATAAGCCAAATTTGGACCAAATGCACAATTGCATTATGTAACAATTTGATTGAAAGAAAGCCCGATCACTTAACCTTTGTACTAGCACACTACCCTAATTAACAATGCATGTAAACAATCTAACAATTTCATGTGTCATATATAGTGTGACAAAAGAAACTTATCATACATATGAGACTAATTAATAAATCACTAGACAAGTAAATTGCATAAAGAATACTTGACCAAGTACGAATGGAAAATGTGACTTTGAGTTTAGTAAGTCGTATCCTGCATTAAAAGAATAACCAGGACAAAGACAAGATTAGAAAATTGACTAATTATGCTTGGGTATAGAACACCGACTGTGAAAGGTTGTTGTCGTTGAAAATTTTTAGGGGTAAAGGCGTAGATCCCTGGGTGCAAATTGAAATATATGCCCCTCATGGTTAATGACAATTAAAATGAGAATTCAAATATTTCCTGTTTTAATTTCGTTTTAGTTTCTTTATCCTCATGAACATATTCTAGCTACTTCTTAAGTGGCATAGCAGTTCTCCTCTCTGTCTTTGCATGTGGGAATATGTTACAGATAGAAAAAGAAAAGGGTGAATGCATATAAACAATTGATTCTAGTGCATTCCACTTCATTAACCCATAACGGAAAGAAGAAAAAAAAATAAAATTTTAAAGCGAAATGTCAAGAGCATGATAGAAGATTTGTATCTCAATCGATTAAGAATTCATTCGAAATTTTGTATTCAACTCTCCCTTATCAAAATATTGATTTTCAAAAAGAATCATAAAAAATGAGGGAAAAAAAAAACATAATGTAGGGTTTGGGAATGTTTGATTTATTAATTAAGTTGACAAAAAGTTCACATTGCTTGAGTATGAACTTGTTTAATTTGTAGACACACTTTCTAATTAGCATTAGGAATTAATACGAAGCACTTCTCTCTATGTTAATTGCCTGTCTCCTCCCAACGCAGTAGTAAACTAGGTAATAATAATTTCCAATAAGCTAGAGAAACTAACAAAATTTAAATTCATATGCAGGATCAAGTCATGGAAACCACTAAGCTAAATTTTTGTGCGGATCATAATAGTTCAGCAAAATTCTAGAAACAAGAATACAAAAATGACAAGGAATTATTATGGAAAATTCAAAACAACTTCAGTAAAACAAAGGAAAAGGGATACTCCAGGAAGCATAAAGGCAATGTAAGATGTGTTATATAATTTAAAAGCAGCACCTTGCTATGGTGTGGCCATGTTTGGCTAGTCCCTTTTCTAAGTCGGCAATAAACTTACACTTGACTTATAAATGTCTATTAACTATTTTATGGCAGATTGATGATTAATAAGAACAAAACTAAGTGTAGCCATTTTAAATTTACTGTTAAATTGACAACTCATGGGATGGAGAGACAAACTTGATGAAATAACCGTTCCAATCTGATTAAGAATAGAATGAACTGAATGGGTTTTTGAAAACTTGACCAAGGTGAGTTACGTTTCATATATCTTCTAAGGCATTGATTCTAACAGCGGGTCACCCTTATTTGGACTAAATTCACAAGGAAATAAAGGGAGTTACTTACCTTTACCTGGTTATGACGCCAAGGCATCAGTAGTGGATGCCAATGTCATGTCGGGAGTGCGGGGGCTGGCAGTGACCATGCCTGGGAGACCCAGGGACCAACTGGATCAACCGGATCCAACGAATTAGCTGGCCTGGGGTGCAATTCTACTGTAGCAGTGGCGGCTGCAGTAGGAGGCGGGGGAATCGATGGGGTGTAGTCGGCACTGCCTTACAACTTCTAATAAGCTGCTACATTTGGACAATTAGAAAAAAAAAAAAAATTTCAATGCATATATATGGTTAAACAATCAAATTACGATTACATCATTCAAACAACCAAATTAAAACATTGTTCAGATTAGGTTGACTACTTCCAACTGAAAATAAAAAGCATTGCCACTGAATTCACATTATTGTCTGAAGAGAAACCACAAATTAACAAAATATGAAGGAAGAGAAAAATAGTTAGATTTCTGCAAGTGAAACACAAGAATTGATACAATAATAGAAAGAAGAAAAGCATATAGTCCAACTAAATGGGAACTTTCAGAGAGTGGGTCGTACACTAGCCCGTCACACACAAGATGGCATTTATTTCTTCAATTGTTGATCAAACCAAAATTTATGAGGACTTTGCCATAAACATTTCATAAGCTTTCTTGAAGCTTGCATATCTTGTGCAATACAATAATACGAAGAAGTGAGAACACAACATAACATGAGACTATCTGTTAATGGAAGAATCTAAAACTAGTTCTTATGAGCATGGATCTTCTCCATCTTGAAAACAAAATAAATTCCATAAAATATAGTATCAATAATATAAGCTTAAGTCAAATGCTAAATTAATTTTTCAAAATGCTTTGAAAGTCAAGCTTATACTTCAAGCCATAATTTTTTTGCATAAAAAGGGTTAAGAAAATAGTCAAAATACAAACTTTTAACCTTAATTCTTACAAATTAGGACTGATGTACAGAAAAGGATAAATCTTTCACGCAGATGTTCCTGGAACATACAAACTGAGCTGAATCTAATGATATATCAGAACTAAGGTGCTTGGTTGAAAAATTATCAATTATGACTAGAGAATATTTAGGATCTACCCTATAATTACAGATCAAAAATGATCTTTTAGGGACACATAGAACATGAAATTAAGAAGTAAGAACACAACTGAAAACACACTTTTAGATAAAGAAGCTGCAAAAATCAGTGAGATAGAGAGAGTTCCTTAGAAAAAAGAACCAACCAAGAAAATGCAAGTGTACTACACAGTTCACCAATTCCAACCAACACAGTTCACCAATTGAACATGTGAAAAGTGTAGTCATGAAAAATGCAACTAATAGAGATTAACCCAAT